CTAGACCCTTCTTTGATCTAAAGATATAGATTCTCAATTCCTAATTGCTGTGACGCGTAAAATAGAATACTAAAAAATAATCATAATCAAAATACTGGAAAGAAAAGAATAGACAAGGAATGAAAATAGATCCTTGGTCTATGATACAAAAATGGGGGAAATCTAGATCAAACTCGGATTGATCGTACTTAACTTACTTAACCTTGGGTTAATTTACTTCGCCTAAAGGGAAGAAATTTTTGCGAACCCTTGGTTTTAGTCTGAGGTTTAAGTCTGACGAGAATAATATTCTACGACTAGCAATTCATTTATTTTCAAACCGACCCATTTACTATCTATTATTTGATTGACTAATCCTTTATATTGGAATGGCTGAAGGGTCAAATGATTTGGTAATTCCTCATGAGGGGATGAATCGAGAGAAATTTGAATCAGAGCTCTGGATTTTTGTTCATCCTTTGCCGTAATAATATCTCGGGGTTTGCAGCGATAACTCGGTATATCTACTATATGACCATTAACTAAAATATGTCGATGGTTAACTAATTGACGGGCTGCGGGAATAGTGGAAGCCATACCCAATCGAAAAAGGATGTTATCCAAACGCATTTCAAGTAATTGTAGTAAAACTTGACCTGTTGACCCCTTGGCTTTTCTGGCGATACGAACGTATTTAAGTAATTGTCGTTCTGTAAGACCATAATGAAAACGCAATTTTTGTTTTTCTTCTAGACGAATACGATATTGAGATTTTTTACCGGAACGCGATTGGTTTCTAAGATCACTTCCGGTCCTAGGCTTTTTATTAGTTAGTCCTGGTAAAGCCCCCAGGCGTCGTATTTTTTTGAAACGAGGTCCTCGGTAACGCGACATAAAGACTCCTTATTCTTATTTAGTATTTCGAATGAATTCTTATTTCTATTTATTTTTTATTGAATTTTATTTTACAGAATAAACCTAAACTAAAACTAAACTGAACTAAATGAAGCGAAGTTTACTGAAATAGTGTACTTGTACTATAAATACTATAAAGAAAAGAAGAATGGGATGAATTAGATAAATATACGGAACCCCTTCTATTATATATATATAATTCTTTGCTGACATAATTGGAAGTTCCTATAATAAATTGATAGCTTTTGGAAAAGGAGGAAGGCGCAATTTCAATATTCTTTGATTTCAAAGGAACATTATCAATCATCTAAAAAATGAAAAAAAAAAATAGGGAAAAGCCGGCTATCGGAATCGAACCGATGACCATCGCATTACAAATGCGATGCTCTAACCTCTGAGCTAAGCGGGCCCACATCACAGAAATCTTATATGCATAGTAATTGACTAAACTACTGGAATTGGAATCTTAGTTATTAACTAGTCAATATTCTATTGAATATTCTAGAGCATAAGGATTAATATAGCGATCTAGAATTTCGATTTATCACAATTCTAATACTAATATTATTAAATAGTGATTGTAAATATTGTTAATATTCTTTGATTTTCAATTTGAATTGAATGGTAAATATTCTTTTTCATTTCTTTTTTTGGCATTTGAAATACTTTTTATTACAGTTCTATATTATATATATCTCTCATTCTATATTTATTTCAAATTCTAATTGTTTAATGGAATGGTTAGTTATAACTAATGAGACATTCCTCCGCTTTCAGGGGAAAGTGAAGATAAAAAACAAGAATCGATCGTTCAAGTATTCCAAATTGAATGGCAAAATGACAGGAAGCGAGACATATAGATCGGGTATATATCCATCTATATTGAATTGCGGATTCCGAAATGATAAAATCATTTTTGATTGGACAAAAAAAGGGTCTCCTATAGAAGATAGTTAAGAAAATCAAAGAGGAGAAAACGCGTTTTCGAGATAGGAATCGGTATCTAATGAATTCAATGCTTCCAGTATAAATGAAAGAAAAATAAAAAGGAATGAAATCACAACGAGATCCTAATCTCAAAACAAAAAGAAAGGGGGATATGGCGAAATTGGTAGACGCTACGGACTTAATTGGATTGAGCCTTGGTATGGAAACTTACTAAGTGATCACTTTCAAATTCAGAGAAACCCTGGAATTAACAAAAATGGGCAATCCTGAGCCAAATCCTGTTTTCTGAAAACAAACAAAGGTTCAGAAAAAAAGGATAGGTGCAGAGACTCAATGGAAGCTATTCTAACAAATGGAGTTAAATGCGTTGGTAGAGGACTCTTTACATCGAAACTTCAGAAAGAAAAAGAATGAAGTGAAGGATAAACGTATATACATACGTATTGAATACTATATCAAATGATTAATGACGACCCGAATCCGTAGTTTTTCTATAAAAAATCGAAGAATTGGTGTGAATCCATTCTACATTGAAGAAAGAATCGAATATTCATTGATCAAATCATTCACTCCATAGTCTGATAGATCTTTTGAAGAACTGATTAATCGGACGAGAATAAAGATAGAGTCCCGTTCTACATGTCAATACCGGCAACAATGAAATTTATAGTAAAAGGAAAATCCGTCGACTTTAAAAATCGTGAGGGTTCAAGTCCCTCTATCCCCAAAAAGACTATTTAACTCCCCAACTATTTATCCGACCCCCTTTCCTTAGCGGTTCCAAATTCCTTATCTTTCTCATTCACTCTATTCTTTTAGAAATGGATTTTTTTTCTAAGCGTAAATGGCTTTCTCTTATCACAATTTGATATCTATGATACACATAGAAATGAACATCTTTGAGCAAGGAATCCCTAGTTGAATGATTCCCGATCAATACAATATCATTACTCATACTGAAACTTACAAAGTCATCTTTTTGAAGATCGAAGAAATTCCCCGGCTTTGATAAAATTTTTAATCGACTTTTGTCCTTTTAATTGACATAGACCCCAGTTATATGATAAAATGAGGATACTACGGAAAGGACTGTAAATCCTCATGTTAGCGGTTCCAATCGAGATTGGGAATAGCCGGGATAGCTCAGTTGGTAGAGCAGAGGACTGAAAATCCTCGTGTCACCAGTTCAAATCTGGTTCTTGGCACATGATTAATTTGTATGGGTCTCTCTTCCCTAGAATTAATTTCTAATTAATTGATATGACCTATTCGAAGCTGCCACCGGTATGCGAATGATGCATATTTTTTTATAGTCTAGATTAGAATAATAGCTTTATCCAGTTTGGCGAGATATACCCCATCTAGAACATAGATGGGTAGAGTTTCTTAGATAAAGTATCTAAAAGAATTGGATTCTATCTCCTCTTTTTTTCTCCTCTTGTTCAAACGAATTTGAATACGTAATACATATTAGAGTCGAATCCGAATCTAGGGGGGTTGAAATAGACAAGATTCAGCTCAGATCCAAAGAAATAGAATCCGATATTATCTCATTTCTTTGTCTTTTCTTTCATATTCGATTTCTTTATTCTAGATTTCTCCATTCCTTCCTATATGCCTTTCTAGAACCCGTCTAAGTAATGTGCGCAGTACAAAGTTCATGATGCAGAACTCATTTGGTTCATCCTATTGGTGTGACCCATCCGAAAGAAGTATCTTCCAAATAAATGTGAGAATTCCAATGAATCCCTAATTGTCTTTTGTTGTTAGGCTTAATCTATAACAAAACGTGCAATCCTTGAATATCTGAAATTGTCTAAGTGGAAATAGCTTTCTTATCATTCAATGAGCATCTTGTATTTCATAAAAATTGGGGGCAATATAATCCTTACGTAAGGGCCATCCTATCCAACTTTCAGGCATTAAGATACGTTTCAAGCGTGGATGATTATCGTAAGAGATTCCCAACATATCATATGATTCTCGTTCTTGAAAATCCACGCTTTTCCAAACCCAGAAAACAGACGGAATTCTAGGATTCCTCCTGGAGGCAAATACTTTTATGCATAGCTCTTCTGGTTGATCCACATCATCCTCTATTCTCGTAAGATGATACACACTAGCTAACAGCCCGCCAGGCGCTACATCATAGGCACATTGAGAGCGTAGATAGTTGTACCCATATACATAAAAAATGACAGCAATGGAATGCCAATCCTCGGGCTTTATTTGTAAAGTCTCTATTCCTTGGTAATCAAAGCCCAAAGATCTATGAATTAGCCCATGCTTGACTAGCCAAGCAGACAAACGACCCTGCATCTTTTTTATCTCTCCCGCATTTTTATTTGTATAAGTATTTCACATTTACGATGAAATTTATGAAAATTGACCCACCACTTCTTATTCTGGACAAAGGAATCCTGTCTAATTCACTAATTCGGCGGAAGATACTGAATTTTTGTATTTGAAAAAGATTTCCGTAGGGATCTCTGAAGTAGATGGTGGTTGATAAAGAACTCTTTGATCATAATTTCCCGTATGAATACTGCGTCGAACATGAAACTTGTGGTTGGTAGTAAAACACCGATTCGCTCGTTGAGACCTAATTCGATCTTCATAGAGTTCTCGAGATATTTTCTTACGAAGTTTTGTTATAGCATCTATAACCGCTTCCGGTTTAGGTGGACAACCTGGCAAATATACATCTACAGGAATTAGCTTATCGACTCCCCGAACAGTACTATAAGAATCGGTGCTGAACATCCCGCCTGTAATTGTACAGGCTCCCATAGCAATAACATATTTTGGTTCGGGCATTTGCTCATATAATCTCACTAAAGAGGGGGCCATTTTCATTGTTACTGTTCCGGCTGTTAAAATTAGATCCGATTGTCTAGGACTCGATCTTGGTACGAGTCCATAACGATCAAAGTCGAAGCGTGAGCCTATTAGTGAAGCAAATTCAATGAAGCAACAACTGGTACCATAGAGAAGCGGCCATAAACTAGAGAGTCTTGACCAATTTGAAAGATCATTTAATGTAGTTGAAATAACTGAATTTGGGGCTGTTCGATCAAGTAAAGGAAACTGAATGGAATTCATAACTGTCTCAATCTTATTTTTTCCGTTTTTCTTTTTATTGTCTGAATATTCAGGAGCTAAGACCATTCCAATGCCCCCTTTCGCCATGCATAAACTAAACCAATAATTAAGATAAGCACGAAAATGAAAGCTTCTATAAATACAGATACACCCAATACGTCGAAACTCATTGCCCATGGATAAAGAAAAACCGTTTCAACATCAAAAACAACAAAAACTAGAGCAAACATATAATAACGGATTCGAAATTGTAACCAAGCATCGCCCATTGGTTCTATACCCGACTCATAAGTAGAAAGTTTCTCCGGCCCTTTGCTAATCGGGGCTAACACTCCGGAAATGAAAAATGCCAAAATAGGAACAAGGATTGATATTATTAGAAATGCCCAAAAAAAATCATATTCGTAAAGCAGAAACATAAACGCACTCCTATGAACGTGGAAAATATACCGGATTCAATTGGTCGATTCGAATTGGAATTGTCAAGTCATCCATAACTATTTAGTCAAAACAAGAATTCATTTTGGTCGAACCGCCTAGTTTGCTTTGTTTATTGGTTTATTGTAGGGCATATCTCATTGCAAGATTCATCGACTGGAATCCGATTTTATTTCCATTATACTTATTTCCATTTTATTTAGTTAGTAGAACCTTCTAACTATATACTTCGACAAATTCTCCTGTTTCTCTTGTTTTTTTCTCTAAAGACGGGGAATTCGAAATTAATTACTTATCTTATTTCTTCTTTAATTAGAAATTCTTTAAAGATTTCTATTTATTTCTATAAATAGAATCAGGAGGTCTTTATTTTCATTTTTTTCTTAGTGATTTAGAATAGAACAAGTAATCAAATAGAAGAGAATGTATAGGAATTGCCATCTCAAGATTTAGAAGATCTTGTGTTGGTATATTCCTTTTATTATTATTTAATTATTATTTATTATTTCATTATTATTTAATAATAGTATTAGGATTCGAATCCAGGTGGAGGGGTTTTTCTTGGTTGAATACAGAAAAAGAAGACTACCTTTTTTTGTTGTGCTTCGCTAGGTCGAGGTAAGTAAGGTATACGAAGGAAAAGCCTATTTGACAATGAAAGTGACCAAAGATATTCATTTTTCAAAAAACTTTAGCTTGTACACAAATACAGCAGGCCTTTCCTATTAAACGATTGCCGTGAGTAAACTTATAGGAATAATTGGATTTCATTTAGTTACAAGCAAGAAATAATAATGAAGAAATGCAAATTATACAATTTTTTTTTGCATTTTTCATTTTTATAGGGCTATACGGACTCGAACCGTAGACCTTCTCGGTAAAACAGATCAAACTTATTATTATTAAAATGATCTGAACTGTTTCAAAGACCCAACATGCATTTTTTTTTTGCATTGGGCTCCTTCATTAACTGATCTAAATATCAGTTAGTCTGCCATTTTTTTTCTTGACAGAAAAAAAGATAAGGAAATGGCTCCATGTGCTCTGATTCATTATTTGGGAGCATTACCAAAGTGTTTCAAAGGTGGGATTATCTTGACGTAGGTCTGTCTCTGGCCTAGATCAACCTAAGTTAAATGAAGTCTCTATCGTTCTGCTTAAAAATCAAATATGAAACTTCATACACCTTAAAGTTCATATGACGAAAAGAGATTTTTTTGAGGTCCTTATACTCATTATGCCTAGCATTGAATAGACTGGGTATTCACCTTATCAAGATCTCAAATCAATGATGGGGTCTGTTTGGCACCTCCTAAATGGGTGTCCAAATTGGACCGAACCTTTGTCAGGCTATGGTTCCCTCAAAGTTATGGAGTAAGACATCGATTTCTCAACAAGATCAATTTTTCTGATTGTATGATGAACTCCCTTGAAAAACATTGGCGCGCGTGTAAACGAGTTGCTCTACCAACTGAGCTATAGCCCTTAGTGCTTGTGATACATATTTTATCATGTAGGTAAATTCTTGTCAAGAGAAATATTCCATGATCCAACATCAAGAATCTTTGATCTCTTTGAGTGGTATTCCTTAGATTAGTATTGCTTATAAGTAATATGATATTTATAATCCATCGACAGGATGGGTTTCATTTGGTTCTCTTTGGGATGATAAATGACCTACTTAACTCAGTGGTTAGAGTACTGCTTTCATACGGCGGGAGTCATTGGTTCAAATCCAATAGTAGGTAAAACTTATTAGATACCAGAGTCAATGGTATCTAATAAGGTTTACAACCCACCTTTAGTGATATTTATTTTTTGATTTTGTATCTTTTCTATTTCATTTTTTAATTTGAATTTTTGCATCAGAATTGGATTCTGTTTGATTGTATTTGATTGTATTCACCCGACAGAATCTAAATAGGATTAGAAAGAGAACTTCTTTTTATTATTCGAACGTACCAACTAGTTATGAAATCGGATTGCTAGCCTCCACCCGTGTTCTAGCTCGTCGGAGAGCTAGATTTGCCTCAATTTTTTGTCTCCTTCCTTCAGCCTTTTTCACATTAGCTTCCGCTATTTCAAGAGTTTGCTGAGCTTCTTGTGGATTAATGTCACTACCCTTCTCCGCATCATTTACTAAAACAGTGATCTCATTATTTCCTATTCTAGCAAAACCACCCATCAGAGCCATCGTTAACCATTGGTCGTTAAGGCGTATTCTCAAAATCCCTATATCTACAGCTGTGGCAATAGGGGCGTGATTTGGTAATATGCCAATTTGACCACTATTAGTAGATAAAACAATTTCTTCCACTTCTGAATCCCAAACAATTCGATTAGGGGTCAGTACACTAAGATTTAAGGTCATTTCTTCAAATTGCTCTCCATTTCTAAGTTCATAGCCTTCGCGGTAGCTTCATCGATAGTACCTACCAAATAAAAGGCCTGTTCAGGAAGACCATCTAATTCTCCGGAAAGGATCAATTGAAATCCTCGAATTGTTTCTGCTAGACCAACATATTTCCCTGGAGAACCGGTAAATACTTCTGCTACGAAAAAGGGTTGTGATAAGAAACGCTCAATTTTTCGCGCTCTTGCTACGAGTAAACGATCCTCTTCGGATAATTCGTCCAATCCAAGGATAGCTATAATGTCCTGAAGTTCTTTGTAACGTTGTAAAGTTTGCTTAACTCTTTGGGCGGTTTCGTAATGTTCCTCACCAACGATCCGAGGTTGAAGCATGGTTGACGTTGAATCTAAAGGATCTACTGCTGGATAAATACCTTTGGCAGCCAATCCTCTTGATAGTACGGTAGTAGCATCTAAATGTGCAAATGTCGTAGCAGGAGCAGGGTCGGTCAAATCGTCTGCGGGTACATAAACTGCTTGAATAGAGGTTATGGACCCGTCTTTGGTAGAAGTAATTCTTTCTTGTAAAGAACCCATTTCGGTACTTAGGGTCGGTTGATAACCCACAGCGGAAGGCATTCTACCCAATAAGGCCGATACTTCGGATCCTGCTTGGACGAAACGGAAGATATTGTCAATAAATAGAAGTACGTCTTGCTCATTAACATCTCGGAAATATTCCGCCATAGTTAGGGCAGTCAAACCAACTCTCATACGAGCTCCCGGCGGTTCATTCATCTGACCGTAAACTAGGGCCACTTTTGATTCTGCAATATTTTCTTTATTAATCACTCCAGATTCTTTCATTTCCATGTAAAGATCATTTCCTTCCCGAGTACGTTCACCCACTCCGCCAAATACGGATACGCCCCCGTGAGCTTTAGCAATATTGTTAATCAATTCCATAATGAGTACTGTTTTACCCACTCCAGCTCCCCCGAATAGTCCGATTTTTCCTCCACGGCGATAGGGGGCTAAAAGATCTACTACTTTAATTCCTGTTTCAAAAATAGATAATTTTGTATCCAACTGTATAAAGGCGGGCGCAGATCTATGAATAGGAGACGTTGTACTAGTATCTACAGGCCCTAAATTATCAACAGGCTCTCCGAGCACGTTAAAAATTCGTCCCAGAGTCGCTCCCCCGACTGGAACACGTATAGGAGCTCCTGTGTCAATCACTGCCATTCCTCTCGTTAGACCGTCTGTAGCACTCATAGCTACAGCCCTAACTCGATTATTTCCTAATAATTGCTGTACCTCACAAGCCACATTAATTGGTTGACCAACACTATCTCGACCTTGAACTACCAGAGCGTTATAAATATTTGGCATCTTGCCCGGGGGAAAGGCTACATCTAGTACCGGACCGATGATTTGGACGACACGCCCCGGGTTTTTTTTTTCAAGCGTGGAAACCCCAGAACCAGAAGTAGTAGGATTGATTCTCATAATAATAAAATAAATATGTCGAAATGTTTTTTCAAAAATTATCGAATTCAAAATAAATGTCCGCTAGCACGTCGATCGGTTAATTCAAAAAAATCGGAATTAGCACTCGATTTCGTTGGCACCATGCAATTGAACCAATCCAATTGTTTACTTATTCAATGAGACTGAGTTAATTTGGAAGCTCACCCAACCTATTTTCATTTAAAAATCTCAAGTGGATGAATCAGAATCTTGAGAAATTCTTTCATTTGTCTATCATTATAGACAAGCCCATCCATATTATCGATTCTATGGAATTCGAACCTGAACTTTATTTTCTATTTCTATTACGATTCATTATTTGTATCTAATGGGCTCCTCTTCTTATTTATTTTTTATTTAAATTTCAGCATATCGATTTATGCCTAGCCTATTCTTTTCTTTGCGTTTTTCTTTCTTTTTTATACCTTTCATAGATTCATAGAGGAATTCCATATATTTTCACATCTAGGATTTACATATACAACATATACCACTGTCAAGGGGGAAGTTCTTATTATTTAGGTTAGCTAGGTATTTCCATTTCAAAAAAAAAAAAGGTAAAAAATCAAAATTGGGTTGCGCTATATATATGAAAGAGTATACAATAATGATGTATTTGGCAAATCAAATACCATGGTCTAATAATCAACCATTCTGATTAATTGATAATATTAGTATTAGTTGGAAATTTTGTGAAAGATTCCTGTGAAAAGTTTCATTAACGCGGAATTCATGTCGAGTAGACCTTGCTGTTGTGAGAATTCTTAATTCATGAGTTGTAGGGAGGGATTTATGTCACCACAAACAGAGACTAAAGCAAGTGTTGGATTCAAAGCTGGTGTTAAAGAGTACAAATTGACTTATTATACTCCTGAGTACCAAACCAAGGATACTGATATATTGGCAGCATTCCGAGTAACTCCTCAACCTGGAGTTCCACCTGAAGAAGCAGGGGCCGCGGTAGCTGCCGAATCTTCTACTGGTACATGGACAACTGTATGGACCGATGGACTTACCAGTCTTGATCGTTACAAAGGGCGATGCTACCGCATCGAGCGTGTTGTTGGAGAAAAAGATCAATATATTGCTTATGTAGCTTACCCTTTAGACCTTTTTGAAGAAGGTTCCGTTACCAATATGCTTACTTCCATTGTAGGTAACGTATTTGGGTTCAAAGCCCTGCGCGCTCTACGTCTGGAAGATCTGCGAATCCCTGTTGCTTATGTTAAAACTTTCCAAGGCCCGCCTCATGGGATCCAAGTTGAAAGAGATAAATTGAACAAGTATGGTCGTCCCCTGTTGGGATGTACTATTAAACCTAAATTGGGGTTATCTGCAAAAAACTACGGTAGAGCTGTTTATGAATGTCTTCGCGGTGGACTTGATTTTACCAAAGATGATGAGAACGTGAACTCACAACCATTTATGCGTTGGAGAGATCGTTTCTTATTTTGTGCCGAAGCACTTTTTAAAGCACAGGCTGAAACAGGTGAAATCAAAGGGCATTACTTGAATGCTACTGCAGGTACATGCGAAGAAATGATGAAAAGAGCTGTATTTGCTAGAGAATTGGGCACTCCGATCGTAATGCATGACTACTTAACGGGGGGATTCACCGCAAATACTACCTTGGCTCATTATTGCCGAGATAATGGTCTACTTCTTCACATCCACCGTGCAATGCATGCGGTTATTGATAGACAGAAGAATCATGGTATGCACTTCCGGGTATTAGCAAAAGCGTTACGTATGTCTGGTGGAGATCATATTCACTCTGGTACCGTAGTAGGTAAACTTGAAGGTGAAAGAGACATAACTTTGGGCTTTGTTGATTTACTGCGTGATGATTTTATTGAACAAGATAGAAGTCGCGGTATTTATTTCACTCAAGATTGGGTCTCTTTACCAGGTGTTCTACCTGTGGCTTCAGGAGGTATTCACGTTTGGCATATGCCTGCTCTGACCGAGATCTTTGGGGATGATTCCGTACTACAGTTCGGTGGAGGAACTTTAGGACATCCTTGGGGTAATGCGCCAGGTGCCGTAGCTAATCGAGTAGCTCTAGAAGCATGTGTAAAAGCTCGTAATGAAGGACGTGATCTTGCTCGGGAAGGTAATGAGATTATTCGCGAGGCTGCCAAATGGAGCCCGGAACTAGCTGCTGCTTGTGAGGTATGGAAAGAGATCGTATTTAATTTTGCAGCAATGGACGTTTTGGATAAGTAAAAACAGTAGACATTAGCAGATAAATTAGCAGGAAATAAAGAAGGATAAGGAGAAAGAACTCAAGTAATTATCCTTCGTTCTCTTAATTGAATTACATTACAATTAAACTCGGCCCAATCTTTTACTAAAAGGATTGAGCCGAATACAACTAAGATTCTATTGCATATATTTTGATCAAGATTTGAAATACAAAATCTAGAAAACTAAATCAAAATCTAAGACTCAAATCTTTCTATTGTTGTCTTGGATCCACAATTAATCCTACGGATCCTTAGGATTGGTATATTCTTTTCTATCCTGTAGTTTGTAGTTTCCCTGAATCAAGCCAAGTATTACAACTCTTTCTACCCATCCTGTATATTGTCCCCTTTGTTCCGTGTTGAAATAGAACCTTAATTTATTACTTATTATTAGATTTTAGATTGTTAGATTAGTTAGTGATTAGATATTAGTATTAGACGAGATTTTACGAATTTTTTTTTATTTCTTTATAGGAGAGGACAAATCTCTTTTTTTCGATGCGAATTTGACACGACATAGGAGAAGCCGCCCTTTATCAAAAATTCTATTATTTTTAATAATAAAAGGGGGTTCCAACATATTAATATATAGTGAAGTGTTCCCCCAGATTCAGAACTTTTTTTGAATACTCACAATCCGTATTAGTTAATAATCCTAGTGATTGGATTTCTATGCTTAGTCTGATAGGAAATAAGATATTCAAATAAATAATTTTATAGCGAATGACTATTCATCTATTGTATTTTCATGCAAATAGGGGGCAAGAAAACTCTATGGAAAGATGGTGGTTTAATTCGATGTTGTTTAAGAAGGAGTTCGAACGCAGGTGTGGGCTAAATAAATCAATGGGCAGTCTTGGTCCTATTGAAAATACCAGTGAAGATCCAAATCTAAAAATGAAAAACATTCATAGTTGCAGTAATGTTGATTATTTATTCGGCGTTAAAGACATTTGGAATTTCATCTCTGATGACACTTTTTTAGTTAGTGATAGGAATGGAGACAGTTATTCCATCTATTTTGATATTGAAAATCAGATTTTTGAGGTTGACAACGATCATTCTTTTCTGAGTGAACTAGAAAGTTCTTTTTCTAGTTATCGAAACTCGAGTTATCTGAATAATGGATTTAGGGGCGAAGATCCCTACTATAATTCTTACATGTCTTACATGTATGATACTCAATATAGTTGGAATAATCACATTAATAGTTGCATTGATAATTATCTTCAGTCTCAAATCTGTATAGATACTTCCATTATAAGTGGTAGTGAGAGTTACGGTGACAGTTACATTTATAGGGCCATTTGTAGTGGTGAAAGTCTAAATAGTAGTGAAAACGAGGGTTCCAGTAGACGAACTCGCACAAAGGGCAGTGATTTAACTATAAGAGAAAGTTCTAATGATCTCGAGGTAACTCAAAAATACAAGCATTTGTGGGTTCAATGCGAAAATTGTTATGGATTAAATTATAAGAAATTTTTGAAATCAAAAATGAATATTTGTGAACAATGTGGATATCATTTGAAAATGAGTAGTTCGGATAGAATTGAACTTTTGATCGATCCGGGTACTTGGGATCCTATGGATGAAGACATGGTCTCGCTGGATCCCATTGAATTTCATTCGGAGGAGGAGCCTTATAAAGATCGTATTGATTCTTATCAAAGAAAGACAGGATTAACCGAGGCTGTTCAAACAGGCATAGGCCAACTAAACGGCATTCCCGTAGCAATTGGGGTTATGGATTTTCAGTTTATGGGGGGTAGTATGGGATCCGTAGTCGGAGAGAAAATCACCCGTTTGATTGAACACGCTGCCAATCAAAATTTACCTCTTATTATAGTGTGTGCTTCTGGGGGGGCGCGCATGCAGGAAGGAAGTTTGAGCTTGATGCAAATGGCTAAAATATCGTCTGCTTTATATGATTATCAATTAAATAAAAAATTATTTTATGTATCAATCCTTACATCTCCGACAACTGGTGGAGTGACAGCTAGTTTTGGTATGTTGGGGGATATCATTATTGCCGAACCCAATGCCTACATTGCATTTGCAGGTAAAAGAGTAATTGAACAAACATTGAATAAAACAGTACCCGAAGGTTCACAAGCAGCTGAATACTTATTCCAGAAGGGTTTATTCGACCTAATTGTACCACGTAATCTTTTAAAAAGCGTTCTGAGTGAGTTATTTAAGCTCCACGCCTTTTTTCCTTTGAATCAAAAGTCAAGCAAAATCAAGTAGAGCACTAAGTTCAATTATTTTTTTTGTGTTTGTAGCAAAAAGTAGTTAGTTTATCGGAATCAAAGTAAATAAGATAATAATGGCCTTTTCTTTGGTGATAGAAGATCGAATTGTAGAAAGAATCAAAACGAAAGTTGAGGATAACTCTTTTTTTGACCTATATTCCTGATTACGAATCAAGAAACCTTTATCACCAAGAGTGAGTTCTTCCGTTCGTGAAATTAGTAAAATAAAACGAATTTGGTCTTGTCTTAGGTATATAATTTGAAATTTCAATATAGATAATAGAGTTTTGTATCTTTCTCTATCTACCGAAAAACCATTTTAGCTAAAAATCCATGTTGGGTCGGATTCGAACGAATCCTTCGATAATCGGTAAAAAACTCTTTATCTATTTTTAGAAAATTAGAAGACAAGAACAAAAGACAAAGAAATGAAGAAAAATAATAAAGTTTATTATCATTATCATACATATCTTTCTCATGGAGGAGATGAATAAGTCCATTTATTTAGTTCTACAGTTCTACATTCTTTGCACTTATTCTTATTATACGTACTCAGTTAGATTTAGATATATCGATACTTCGATCTATACTAAGAATTTTAAATTCTTCAAATTCTATTAATAATAAATATTATCTAATTAGAATTCAAATTCTTAATTTAATTATAATTATTACAAGATATCTTTATTTATATAATAACATAATAACAGATACAAATAGTAAATCGAGGTACCCCTTCTATGACAAATTTGAACCTTCCATCTATTTTTGTGCCGTTAGTAGGCCTAGTCTTTCCGGCAATTGCAATGGCTTCTTTATTTCTTCATGTTCAAAAAAACAAGATTGTTTAGATCCGCTGGGACCCAATCTCATCCATTTTTTTTTTGAAAACGTGGACTTGTATCATAACACGGATATCTATTTATTGGAATATAGTATAACATGTGATTTCCACCGAACATAAAGGAAAAAACTCTTATGCCCGCAGAAACATGATATATGGATATATCAATTCTAGCAATTTTCAAATAGATCAGGATCTCTGGATGGCTGAAATGTAGTCGGTGAATCTATATGTATATCGATATGTATAGTGGGATCGTATTAAATAAAGAGTATGTTATTATTTTAGATTTAACCAATTTGATGAATTACTCCTAAAGGTTGACATCAAACTAGTGCTAGTTCACCTCAAACTAGTGCTAGTTGATGAGAGTTACTTCGGAAACAAAAAAGTAAAGTCAAATTTCTCTGGGGTATTATCTCAATTCCAATAAAATGCAATCGAGTAAAGTATGACTTGGCGATCAGACGATATATGGATAGAACTTATAACGGGGTCTCGAAAAATAAGTAATTTCTGCTGGGCCTTGATCCTTTTTTTAGGTTCATTAGGCTTCTTATTAGTTGGAACTTCCAGTTATCTTGGTAGAAATTTGCTATCTTTTTTTCCGCCTCAGCAAATCATTTTTTTTCCACAAGGAATCGTGATGTCTTTCTACGGAATTGCGGGTCTCTTTATTAGCTCTTATTTGTGGTGCACAATTTCCTGGAATGTAGGTAGTGGTTATGATCGATTCGATAGAAAGGAAGGAATAGTCTGTATTTTTCGTTGGGGATTTCCGGGAAAAAATCGTCGCATATTCCTCCGATTCCTTATAAAAGATATTCAGTCCGTTAGAATAGAAGTTAAAGAGGGTATTTATGCTCGTCGTGTTCTTTATATGGACATCCGAGGCCAGGGGTCCATTCCCTTGACCCGTACTGATGAGAATTTGACTCCACGAGAAATTGAACAAAAGGCTGCTGAATTAGCCTATTTCTTGCGTGTACCAATTGAAGTATTTTGATAAATTGAGAATCAGAACGTTCATTCAATTAAAGAAAACGTATATGAAAGAACCATAAAACGAAACTCTTTTTATGGTCTTTATGCGTTTTATGGTCTTTATGCGCACGCAATTCAATAACAAATAACAAATCGAAATAATAGATTCATCTCAGACGGCAAACCATTTCGAAAGCAAGAATTTTTTTTAGTTCAATATTTGTTGGAATTGACACTTTAGATCCAGATAGATCGTATCTTGTAAATTTGAAATTCTTTCTTTTGTATTCTTTAATGACCAACAATTGGATTTCTTAATTAAATTGGATTTCTTAATTAAATACTGAGAACTAGCCAATTTATCCTTTGCCAGTCATTTTTTTTTGATCATCCTAATATCTTTCCCTCAATTATTCTATTCCTGACTATGGGTAATCAGTGAAATTTTTTCGAAATATTGGATATTTTGATAGCAAAGGAGTTCTTTCGTCTCAAAATCTGAATAATATTCATTACTTAAAGTGGTTCTTTCGATCATTCATCGAAAGGATACACTTTATTTTTAATTTGACCAATTGAGATATCAGGAAACAATATTCTAAATTTCTTCATTCGAAGTGAATTCTTAGCCTATTTCTGTATTCTTTCTAGATTCAAAGACTAACCACAAAATCACAAAGAAAATAGATTCATAAGTTCGATACCTTGTATAAAACTCATGTGTGTAAGAAATATTCGATCGCATAGAGTGTACGAATGGGTTGATTAACAATTTACAGACGAAAAAATGGCAAAAAAGAAAGCATTCACTCCTCTTTTCTATCTTGCATCTATAGTATTTTTGCCCTGGTGGATTTCTTTCTCAGTTAATAAATGTCTGGAATCTTGGGTTACTAATTGGTGGAATACTGGGCAATCCCAAATTGTCTTGAATAATATTCAAGAAAAGAGTCTTCTAGAAAAATTCAGAGAATTAGAGGAACTCCTCTTCTTGGACGAAATGATCAAGGAATACTCGGAAACACATCTCGAAGAGTTTGGGATAGGAATCCATAAAGAAACGATCCAATTAATCACGATACAAAATGAGAATCGTATGGATACGATTTTGCACTTCTCAACAAATATCATCTGGTTTGGTATTCTAAGCGGGTATTCAATTTTGGGTAAGGAAAAACTTGTTATTCTTAACTCTTGGGCTCAGGAATTCCTATATAACTTAAGTGACACAGCAAAAGCTTTGTGTCTTCTTCTAGTAACTGAGTTTTTTCTCGGATATCATTCACCCCCAGGTTGGGAATTCGCTATACGCTCTATCTATAACGAGGTTGGAGTTGTTGCGAATGAGCAAACTATAACTATTCTTGTTTGCATCCTTCCAGTAATTTTTGATACATGTTTTAAATATTGGCTTTTCCGTTATTTAACTAGTCTGTCTCCGTCAATTTTACTGATTTATGATTCAATAACTGAATGATAAAGGATCCATTGATATTAATCTAATCCAATTAGAATGCTTGGTACTTTGTAGTTGTACATAAGCAAAGTATTGAAAATCATATTTACTCTTCCTATTTCTAACCATCGGGAAGATTCATCCTAGATTATTCCAGCAAATAGCAGAATCGTGGCTAGGGAACTATACTAGCGACCTACCCAATTTATTGTAGAAATTTTCGCGATCAATGATTGGACCATGCAAACTAGAAATGCTTTTTCTTGGCTAAAGAAACAGATTACTCGATCTATTTCCGTATCGCTCATGATATATATCTTAACTCGGACGTCCATTTCAAGTGCATATCCCATTTTTGCACAGCAGGGTTATGAAAATCCACGAGAAGCGACTGGGCGTATTGTATGTGCCAATTGCCATTTAGCTAATAAGCCCGTGGAAATTGAGGTTCCACAAGCGGTACTTCCTGATACTGTATTTGAAGCAGTTGTTCGAATTCCTTATGATATGCAACTGAAACAGGTTCTTGCTAATGGTAAAAAAGGGGGGTTGAACGTCGGGGCTGTTCTTATTTTACCGGAGGGGTTTGAATTAGCCCCTCCCGATCGTATTTCTCCTGAGATGAAAGAAAAGATTGGCAATTTGTCTTTTCAGAGCTATCGCCCCAATAAAACAAATATTCTTGTGGTAGGCCCTGTCCCTGGTAAAAAATATAGTGAAATAACCTTCCCTATTCTTTCCCCGGACCCTGCTACTAAGAAGGATGTTCACTTCTTAAAATATCCTATATACGTAGGCGGGAACAGGGGAAGGGGTCAGATTTATCCCGACGGCAACAAGAGTAACAATACAGTTTATAATGCTACAGCAGCAGGTATAGTAAGCAAAATCATACGAAAAGAAAAAGGGGGGTATGAGATAACCATAACGGATGCGTCAGAGGGACGTCAAGTGGTTGATATTATCCCTCCCGGACCAGAACTTCTTGTTTCCGAGGGCGAATCTATCAAATTTGATCAACCATTAACGAGTAATCCTAATGTAGGCGGATTTGGTCAGGGAGATGCAGAAATAGTACTTCAAGATCCATTACGTGTCCAAGGACTTTTGTTCTTCTTGGCATCTGTTATTTTGGCACAAATCTTTTTGGTTCTTAAAAAGAAACAGTTCGAGAAGGTTCAATTGGCCGAAATGAATTTCTAGATTCGCAGATTTATCGATATCAAGTACGTAAAAAGAACCAAATTCTTGTTGGCGATTATTTATGATCAAAAAAATGAAATTATGAAAACTCCTTTGTCTTATTTATACTCTTCTTCAAAATCTACATACTATGTGGTACAAGGGATTCCCAGCATCTCGTAGAAAAAGAGTATGTAATGTAGATTTTGAAGAAGAGTATTTGGCTTTCATTTATTTTGATTTAGTTTTTTTTAATTGGAGTAGTGTAACTATGTTACTATTGCCAGATTTCACTGCCATAAAACGTATCAATAGTTTTCTATTCTAAATAGAAAGAAAGTCAAATTTGTCTAAATACTAGACATAAGGAAGCGGGGGATAAATGCGGGGAAGAAAAAATTCTAGCAGGGATTATTTGTCTTCCTAGTCTTCGACACAAGAAAGGGGTGTAGAAAAATCCTTTTTTCTTGTGTCGAAACGAAAGAGTAATGATTCTTGATCCTGTTTGTTAAAAATTCCTAGTCTTGGTTTCAATTTTTCCAGATGTATCAGAAACCCTACACCTACCCCCTTACATATAATATATGAATTGGTGGACAAACAAAACAAAAAAGAGAGGAAATTTTATTAATTAAATAAAACTTCTTCAATCAACTTATCTTATAAAAAATTTGATGATGAAATAGGAAAACAATAAAAAATAAATAGAGTAATGTAATATAGAGAGTGTAATATAGAGAGTAAGGTTCTACATTAGATTAGTATAGAAAGGATTTGCACGCTATCTAATATATGATAGCAGCCAAGAAATTGAGTGATTCCTTCTTTCTTCCAACTTTGAAAGTACTGGAAAGTACCGATAGATACTATCATATAAAAAGAAGAGGTGGTCTGACTAACTCAATGAAGCGAATTTTTCAAAAACATGCTCAGAAAAATGAGAAAAATGGAGTTTTTGAAAAGAAAAAGAAATCCATTTTATCATTTAGACGAAAAAAATATTATGATTCTTAAGAACTCAACGGGCCCTTCCCCTTCGAATCAAACAAACAAAGAAGGGAATCCCGTTAAGTTCTTACGCTTTCATGTTGACAACTCAATTCAGTCGATTACTACAGGGATGAACCCAATCCGGAATATGAACCATAAAAGAAAATACCTATTAAACCGATTACAAGAATACCAGCTACAGTACCTATTATCCAAAGAGGAATCCTTCCAGTAGTATCGGCCATTTACCCCACTTCCCTCCAGATTTCATCAAGTGGTCATGCTAGAGACATAAACAGTCATGGATAATTAAATTATGAGATCCTTCCGAATGAGCTAAGAGAATCTTATTTATTCTCTTTCGTTTTCTTAATTGAAGAAATAATTGGAAAATAAAACAGCAAGTACAAAAATGAGTAATAACCCCCAGTAGAGACTGGTACGATTCAATTCAACATTTTGTTCGTTCGGGTTTGATTGTGTCGTAGCTCTATAATTCGGATTAAGTTTATCGTTGGATGAACTGCATTGCTGATATTGATCCCAAAAAAAAGACGGTAGGTACAGCTAGGCCGTGAACAGCCAACCATCGTACTGTAAAAATTGGATAGGTTCGATCTATAGTCATTAGGGCCTCCTAAAACGATCTACTAAATTCATCGAGTTGTTCCAAAGGATCAAAACGGCCAGTTATTAATGGAATTCCTTGTCGGCTCTCTGTAAAATACTCGTTTGGCCGCGGGCTTCCAAACACATCGTAAGCTAAACCTGTGCTGACA